ATATATATATATATATATATATATAGACATATATATATACACTATATATATATCTGTATGCAATGCATGCAGTGTACATCTACAGACCTATATTTGGCGCTTTTATGTGCTGCTGCTGTTGTTGGCATAGGCTTCCTCTAATGAATTGCTTTAAGTAGCAGCAGCAGCTGCAGCAGCAGCAGCAGCAGCACACATAAGTGCCAAACGTAGGGTTGTAGAGGTACACTGCATGCGCTGTTTGTTTCTTTTTTATTTAAAAAATAATATATTTCTTTTGCTGCAGATTCCACCGACTTACCCATTAACGCCAATTGAATTGCGGCTGCCTGAATTAGACGGAAAGACAAGCAAAATGTACAGGTACTGCTACTGCACATGCTGCTGCTGCTGCTGCTGCTTTGGCTGTTGCAGCTGCAGTAGGAGAAGCAGCACAAGCACTGCTGGTACTGCTTCTGCTGCTGCTTTGTTGTGGCTCCCTGTCTCCTTTTTTGTTTCTCTTTGTAGTCTTCGTAAGACTAGCAGATATGCCTTCGTCTTCTTAGTGCTGCTGGGTTATTGGGTTTGTGCTACATTGCTGCTGCTGCTGCTGCTGCTGCTGCATGCAGAGGAGGCCGCATTTGTCTCGACGCGCACTTTGCGCCTCTTTGGAGTAAAAACGCCCCCAAGTTTGGCATAGCGCATGCACTGGCTCTCGGAGTGAGTTTGTTGTTTGTTTGTTTTGTTCTTGCTTTATCTATTTCTTATAGGTCTGTTGTTTGTTTCTTTCTTTATTGCTTTATCTATTTCTTATATGTCTTTTGTTGTTGTTTTGTCCTTCTTGCTTTGTGCACTTTCTTTGGGTCTCTCGTTGCCTGATTTTCTTGCTTATTACACCTCCTATAGGATATAGGGGGCTACTGCTTGCTGTCTCTGTTGCTTTATACATCTCCTTTAGGTCTGTTGTTGGCTGTCTTTTCTTATACGTCTTGTGGGTCTCTTGCTGCTTTTTGTCTTTATTTTATTTTCATCTTTTTTCCTGCCGTATCATTCTCTCGTTGTCTAGCGTGGTTACTGGGATGCGAATGCAGCAGCAGCAGCAGCAGCAGCAGCACAGCAGCAGCAGCAGCAAGGGCAGCAGCAGGGGCAGAAGGGGTGCATTGTGGGTGCTTTGTGCTGCAGCTGGGTCCCTGGTTGGCTGCTGAGGTGCCGTATCTTGTGGATACGGGCGTAATAACAGCTTCTTAGACTTAGTGTCTCCTTTCTAGTACCGCAAACCTAGTTTCTCCCCTCTTACGCCCGACACTCAGTGTCTCCTTACTACGATCTTATTCTGTCTCCTTCCTTGCATCGTAGGCTTAGTTTTTTTATATCTCCTTACTCCTTCTCGTATGTAGCGCCTTAGGCTTGGTGTCTCCTTTCTTGCAGCTCTAACATAAATCATCTTATTGTGTCTCCTTTCTAGAATTTAGGCTGAGTGTCTCCTTCTATACAGCATGGGCTGCCTCCTTTCTACTGTCTTAGGGGTAGTGTCTCGTTCCTAGCGCCTTATTATCTCTCCTTTCTAGCCCCCTTCTAGCGACGCAGGCCGTCTGTTTGTTTACTAACATCTTAGGCTGTCTCCTTTCTTGCATTAATTGGAGGAGACTATCAACAGCTTCGGGGCCCTTCTGTCTGGCTCCTCTAAGAAGGAGGCAGAAGCTGCCTTCTGCATTTAAAAGGGAGACTGTCTCCTTTCAGTGGGCGACCAAAGCTGTCTTTATCAGTTAAAGAGAGGAGACTGTCTCCTGTCTCCAACAACGTGAGAGGGGCCTCAAAAAAACACAAGTCCGGTGGTGTGCGGTGTACGTACTGTAGCTTGAGTCCTCTATTCAGAGAGAGAAGGCTGCGGGGGGTTTTGTCTCTGTTGCATTTTGCTGTTTCTTTTTTTTATTTCGCTGTTGAGGGGAAAGGTATGGAGAGGCAGAGACAAAGACATAACAGAGAGGAGACAGGCAGTCTCCTGTGCTGCAGCGTTGGGTAGCAGCACTTTACCTCTCCTACGAAAATCAGTTTATTATAGTATGCAATTAATACTAAACGAACTTATTTAGTATTTTATTATTCTTTCGCCTGTAACAGCAATTTATGCCTTCTTGAAGGGATCTAGTCTAGTGGCGATGCTGTCTCCTCTTCGAGTGTCTCCTTAGAGTATGTTCTCTCTTCCTGTTGTTGTTCAGAGACACTCAAACCAGGGGTTGCTGACACAAAGGAGACAGCATATACACCCGAGAGAGCCTCCGAGGGCTTGTCCCTCTATAAGTGTTGTCCCCTTGGAGACAAGCCACCTAATAGAGTTACTGTTGTTATAATTCTCCTCAGCAAGCGTATTGTGAAATAATATTATGGTATATTTATTGTATTAGAAAAGTAATAATAATATTATAGAGTAGTATTACTGTTCTGATGGCGAGACTAGAGGAGCTCTTGCAGGCCTCAAGGCTCGGCGTAGTGCAGGGCAGATGCGGATGTAGGGGGAAAAGGAGACAGTTGGGGATCTATAGAGACATCTCTGCGTCCCCTTAAACGATTGGTGAAGGTCCTTAAGATTATTGCACCTTAAGCTGTCTCTGTTTTGGTGTTTCCTATTGCATATATATATATGTATATTAATGCTGTTCGTAATATTTTTGTTTTATTCGCCTCTTTATATTACTGCCCATTCATTTGGCCTTGTATAGTGCTGTTTATTTACTCGTGTTTATAAAATACAGTTAGGCTATTATATAATATAATATGATATCATTATATTGGGCTTCTGCACTTGTTCGTCTCCTTAGAGACACCTTGTGCAATCTGCCTCTGCCTCCTGCTCCGACTCAATGCAATATAGACAAGACACCTGCACAGGTCTCTGCAAGCAGCATGTAAATATGTATATGTATATATATAAATATATATGTATATATATATCCATATATACATGCTGCTTTTATATTTTTAGTGGAGCCTGAAGTTCTCCCCACAAGAAAGAAGCAAATGTCCCCTTATAGCAACACTATTTGCAGGGGGGCTAAGAGCAAGCAATGATGACAAACTTTTTTTTTCTTTGTCTTCTCTAGAGGCACCGTATTCTTCTCTTATCTTTTTCTCTGATTATGTTGCATTTGTAGCTTAAAAAGGTGTCATCGCATATGTGCTGTTTGTTCCCACTGAAACACTTCTCAAGTGTCTCCTTCTTAGCTTTTAAATTATATCTCGTTTAGGAGTCTCTTCAGCCCTTCGCTCTGTTGCCTACGGGCTTAGTTGCTTCTACTGTACTGTCTCCTTAAGGCCTCTCTTTCATTATGGAGACACAGAGAAAGGCAGCTGTTTAAAGCCCTATTTCGTGCATTGATGCTGCATGCAGCTTTCCTGCGTTTGGTGAATTAAGAAGAAAAAGCCCCACAGACAATCTGTCTCTCCGCTGCTGTTGCTGCTGTTGTTACTGCTGCTGTTGCTGCTCGTGCTGGAAGGAGAGGGTGGGCCCATGCCTGTTGTCTGTCTCCTTTGGGGGCCCCCTTGATCTCTCGGTCTACCAGGCCTTGTAGGGCCCCCCCTTCTGCTGAAATGAAATTTATATTCGTCTCCTTCACGAGTTTATTGGAGGGACTAGGTGTGTGGGGTGTCTCCTTTTTCCCGCTGCAGCCTGCTGCAGCGAGCGGTGACCCTGGGCGAGCAGCAGCAGCAGCAGCAACAGCAGCAGCAGCGCGGAGACAGTATAAGCGGTGGCCTTTATCATGCGTGCAGAAGTGACTAAGAGGGTCTCAAACAGAAATATGATAAAAGGACAAAAGGAGACACTTTGTGTCTCTCCAGGCCTTCCCCGAAGACACCCGAAGAGACAGTCCCTGTCGTGTGTTATAGTTTTGTGGCTTGTTTAAACAGCAAGGGTTTAGGGTTTATGGTTTAGGAAAAATTAAATAATTTATGATGGTATATGATGTGCCTGCCCCGATTGCTGCCTCCCTAAACCCTAAACCCTAAACCCTAAGAAACAGAAAATTCTTCTTCTTGAGATGGGGGAGGAGACCGCAGAAGAGACAGCAGCTGAGAGGGTGGAGAAGAGGAGACAGCAAGGGAAGGAGGCATATCATATCATCATATAATCAGTGTCTCCTAAGATGTTCATCTTAGGAGACACTTGGGGGCCTAAAGAATGCCTCCTCCCCTTAAAACTCATTCAGGAGAAGGGTTTTCTTTGCATGCGTTGCCGTCAGCCACATCGGAAGTGCTGCTGCTCAGTGCTGCGCTGCTGCAGCGGGAGTGTCTCTCCAGCCTCTTCTCTCAGTCAATTCAGAGGGCAGGAGGAGACACCTCAGCGTATGCTGAGGAGACACCTCAGTGGGAGACAGATAGCTGCCTTTGGGCTATTCGCCTGAGTGTGGGGCTGCCAGATGTCCCCACTGTCTCCTTTCGCGAGGTTACAAGTGTCTCCTCGCCCCTTAAAGATAGCCTGCCCTCGCTGCAGCTGCTGCAGGCTGAAGCGTCCCTTGTCTCCTCTCTGTCAAGGAGAGACAGAGAAAGAAGAGAAGGGGGATCTGGGGGAGCAGGAGAAACAGAGAAAATAGAGGCCTTGGAGACAGTTAAAAGGCTTTCCAACGCGTTGCAGCCTCGCAGGTGTCTCCTCATCTCTTCTTCGCAGCGCCTGCTGCACGTGCTGCAGCAGCTGCTGCGGCTAATAAAACCCCACAGTCTGCAGCGGCAGCTCTTTAAGGAGACACCTGTCTCCGTCGCCAGCCACCTCAACTCAGAGGAGACAGCACTTGCTCCTGCGGGAGAGTTCTTGTTAGCTGTAATGCGTCTCTGTCTGCAGCAGCACGCTGCTGCAGCACGGAGACAGCAGCATGCTCTGTTAAGGAGACAAGAAGCAGCAAGGGCCACGCGAGAGGGAGGAGACAGGCAAGGAGACAGCGCAGTTGTTGTCTCCCCACAGAGCACCAACTGTCCCCAGGAGAAAGGACCTGCTGCAGACCCCACAGAAGATAAACTAAAAGAGTATTTGTTACGCCTTCGTGCGGAGCGGGAGGCCCTCGAGACTTTGCAGTGTACGTACACCCCAACGCCGTGCCTCAGGTTGCCCTGACTAAAGCAACATTACTGCTTCCCCCGTCCCCGCTGCTGCTGCTGCTGCTGTTGCTGCATGCCCTTATCTGTTATGGAGACACAAAGCCATCAGCAGCAGATTATTGCTGTCAGCGCGACTCAGGCGCTGTCTCTTCGTTTACATTTCTCTCTTATTATCCCAGTTGAGTTGCTCTGTCTTCGTTTATTCCTTAGGATTTGTCTTCTTCTTCAGAAGAGAGGAGAGTTATTGTCTCTGTTTCTTTTTGCTTCATTCTTTGCATGCGCTTTTATGCAGTTGTTGTGGCTGCGTCTACTGTCTGTCTCCTCCTGCTGTCCGCGTTGTGTCCCTTTGCAGCGTTTACTGCTGCTGAGCCTGCTGCAGCTTTGTTTGCCTTGGAGAAACTGCTACAGAGGCCCTGTCTCCAGCACCTGGAGGCCCTTCAACCCCCCGAGGGGACAGTTGTACGCGACGTCTTCTATAGCTGTCTCCTTCGCTGCTTCGCTGCCTATACAGCTACCACCCCACATGCTGCTGCTGGGGTCTCCAAGGGTCTCCGGCTGCAGCTGGCCACAGCATGCAGGGAATTGATGCAGGAAGCAGGGCTTCAATCCCTCTGTCTCCTCGCGCTTGGGAACGCCGGTGCACCCCAGGAAAGCAGCAACAGCAGCAGCTGCAGCAACAGCAGCAGCTGCAGCAACAGCAGCTGCTGCAGCAACAGCAGCTGCTGCAGCAACAGCAGCTGCTGCAGCAACAGCAGCTGCTGCAGCAGCTGCAACGATGCTCCCAGAAAGGAGACACTTTTCTTTCAGAGAGGAACCTGTGGAGACGCGAGCCAGAAAGGGACCCAACGAGGTGTCTCCTCACCCACAGCTGCAGAGGAGACAGTCTCCAAGCCTCAGCAAAGCCTAAAGACTGTCCCATTGTCTCCTCAACACACAGAGGAGACAGACAAAAAAGAGTTAGAGTTGCTGCTGCCTCCTAAAAGCTGCGACGCCTCTGCCAGGGCCTTTTGCTGCTTTTTGAATCCCCCACTCAGGCCGTACACCCCGTGGCTCAGCAACCAGCACCAAAATGAAGGAGACAGCATAGTAGCAGGAGACAGCAGAACAGCAGGAGGCAGCAGAGCAGCAGGATACAACAGAGCAGCAGGAGACAGCAGCGCAGCAGGAGACAGAAGAGCAGCAAGAGACAACGGAGACTCTTCCTGTAAGAACCCAGCAGCAGCAGCTCCACCTAGGGCCCCACTACAAACACTGTCTCCGTCGTGGCTGGGCCCTCAGGGGGGCCCCTGCAGCACTTTTGAAGGATGCCGCATCCCCCTAGAGTTGAAGGCCTTGGAAGAGGAGCTGCGCCCTTCTCAAAAAGGAGACAGGCAAAAGCGCAGCCTCGTGCGTCTCCTGGCGAAGTGGTTGAGGACCCCAGCGTGGAGACAGAGACTGAGGGGAGGAGACAGCGAGTCAGGAGACAGCAGGACAGAGGGAAGAAAGAGCAAAGGAGACACTCACCTCCCCCCTATCTTGCTACCATACGGGTCCTCTGTCACCGGCTTTGGAGACTGGGACTCAGACTTAGACCTCGCGTTGCTGCTGCCGTCCCTCTGCAGCGCAGCAGAGACAAAAGAGACACCGCAGCAGTCTCCTTGCTGCTCTCCTTTCTCTTCCTTTCCGTGCTGTCTCCTTTGTGGCCAGGGGGGAGACAACTGCCTCCATAGCTTCCCCTCGAGAGCGGAGTCCGCTGCGCTGCTGACGCGGCTTGAGTGTCTCCTCCGCAGCGAAGAGCAGCTTGAGGGTCTCTTCACTTGCCTGGAGGTTGTTGTCCCCCAAAGAGCTCCCCCACTGCTGCGTGGGGTGTACAGACACCCGAGAACCCCACAAAGACGCAGGAGCAGCAGCGCAGCCAGCTGCCGCTCAAGGAGCAAAGAGATGTCTCCAGCAGGAGACACTGCCAAGGGACAGTGCGTCTCTCTCCGTCCCTCTGGAGACCAACTCAACAGAAAAGGAGACAGTTTAAGGGCATGCGACGATGACAAGGAAGGGGGCAGAAATTACGAGGAGACAAAGGAGACACACCAAACAAACAGGCTCAACATCTGCCGCACCGCTGGGGGCCCAGCGAAAGGAGACAGCCGATACTGTCCCTCTGCACACAGCGCAACCCTGGAAGTGTCTCCTCTTTTACAGCCAGACGGCCCACTACAAGGGCCTCCTCAAGGACCTCCGTGGGGCCCCCCTCCAGAAGCAGGAGACATGGAGAGACACTCTGGGGGCCCCCCGCCTACGCCTGCAGCTGAGCCTGCCTGGGGGCCGTGCAGCCGAGTTAAGTTCGAGATGACTGCTGGGTGTCCCCTGGGCCCTTTAAACTCGCAGTTGCTGAAGGAGTACGCCAGCTGCTGTGTCCTTTTGCCGCCTTTGGTTCGCATAGTCCGGCACTGGGCAGACTGTAGGGGCCTCACAGGTGGGCCTCACTCACCATTTTTGTTTTCAGGCGTGCGCGTCCACTAGCTAGCTGGCTAACTGGCTAGCTGGCTAGCTAGCTAGCTAACGAGGCAGCGAGCTGGCTAGATAGCTAGCTAGCTGACTGGCTAGCTGGATAGACAGCTAGCTATTCTGTTGCCAAGCTATAGCTAGCTGGCTGGCTACTTAGCATTTAGCGCCATGAAGAGTTGTAGTCAGGACAGTGCGCGACGGAGTCTCTTGAATGCAGAAGGAGGAGGGGAAAGGGCCCTTGGTGCATGGGTATTATCGAGGCTGTAAAGGGTATCTGCTGAAGGAGACAGGAGCCCTTCCTCTTTTAAGTGTCTCTGCTGCTCTGCTTAGGGACCCGGGATGGCTGTCTCTCTAGCTACGCCTGGTCTCTCTTGGTGGTTTTCTTCTTGCAGTCGGTTTCTCCGCCGTTGCTGCCTCAGCTGCAGCAGCGCCCATCTGCTGCGCACCTCCAGACCTCGCTGAATGCCCCTCCTTACCCCACAAACGAAAGGAGGCACTTGAAGGGAGGCTGTCTCCGAAGCCTCCCGCCCTCTGCGGTGCCTGTAGAGATCGTTGGGGGCCGCCACAGCGTTTGGTTCTTAAGGCCAGGGGCCGTTGACCCGTGGGGGCCCCGGACGCTGGGTTTGTTGCAGCCTGTGTTTAGGGGCGCTCGAGAGACTCAGCTGCTGCAGTGGCTGCAGAGATATCTGCCGGGGTGTCTCCTCCTGCTGCCTGAGGAGACACCGCAAGGCTCCACAAACTACCTGGAGGCAGGGCCTTTAAAACAACACACAGAAGGAAGTAAAACCCCCAAAGGGGATATCAACAACTTCTCTCAGCCCCCCCTCTTCACACTCCCTCGAACAGACAGCCCCAGGGGTCCAGTGGTCAGGCCACTGACTCCCCGCGAGAACCAATACTCCACGGGATCGGGGGATCGATACCCTACGGGGTCGGGGGATCGAACAATTCAGGGATCGGGGGATCGAAGCATTCAGGGATCGGGGGATCGAAGCATTCAGGGATCGGGGGATCGAAGCCTTCGGAAGTCGGGGGGTCAGTCCCCCACGGGATCGGGGGATCTAGCCCCTATGGGATCGGGAGATCGGTCCCCCACGGGATCGGGGGATCGGTCCCCCCATCGCCGGCGTCAATCACGCTGCCAGCCTCCTCCTCTGAGCGACCAGGACTGGGTCAAGGTAGCGTCTCTATTTTATGCATTTTTTGTGTTTTTCGGTTATTCATTTAACTCTTTGTCCCTTCTGGTGTCTCTACAAGGTCCTCCCCTACCATGTAGAAAGCCCCCGAACAGAAGACGCTGTAAACAGAAAGGCTTCCAAGCAAAGGAGACACCTAAAGAGACTCCTCCTGTCTCCACAGAGCCCCCAACCCACCAGCTGTCTCCCCAGAGGGGAGACACAGGGCAAGGGGGCCCCACAGCGATCAGTGAACCCCCACTGAAAGATTGTAGTCCGATGGGGGCAGTAAGGACAGCAGCAGCAGCCGATGCAGCCGCAGGAGCACCAGATGAATGCGCAGCAGCAGCAACAACGAATGAAGCAGCCACAACTACACACGACGAAGCACAAGCGACAAACACAGCAGCAGCAACAACAGATGCAACAGCAGCAGCAACGCATGCAACAGCAGCAGAAGTGCCGGCAGCATCTGAAGATCTGAGGAAGGGCCCCCTTGAAGGTCGCGAGACGCAATGTACAGACGTCGACAGGGAAGAGACACCTAAGGACCCAGCAGGTGAACTGCTTAGGGCCCTGGGAGAGCAACAAGCTAGTGAGCATCTCCTTGTCTGCAATGTATAGGCACGAGCAGCAGCAAGAGCAGCAGCAGTTCTTCTGTCGGTGCGAAACGAGCATCAGCAAGAGCAGCAGCAGCAGCAGCTGCTTGTGCTGCTGCTGTATGTGCGTTCAAAGAGATACCTTTAGGCTGCTCTGCGTTTGCTTCCGTCTCAGTCTCCACTGCTATGCAATCTGTCTCCTTTGGTGTTGCCATTGAGGACCCGCTGGAGGTGGGGAGACACCACGCCTACAGCAGGCCTCAAGGTGAGAACGGATGCCCTTTGACTGCAGCAGCAGCAGCAACAGTAGCAGCAGCAGCAGCAGCAGCAGCAAAGGTGGCAGCAGCAGCAACTGGCCTTGAGGATGTCCTGTGTTTGTGGTGGAAATCGCCAAGATGCCCTTTGCTTCCCTCAAACGGCGAGTGCATGCATGCATGCATACATTACATTACATTACGTGCATGCGTGCATTAATAACGTGCATGCATTAATAACGTGCATGCATGCATGCATGCACTATAGGCGTGCATGCATGCGAGCATGCATGCATGCATGCATGCATCAATAACGTGCATGCATGCGTGCATGCATGCATTTAGTGCGTGCATGCATGCATGCATGCATTATGCTCTTGCATGTGTTTGCAGGGTGCGAGGTGTTTTACTATGAAATGCAAAGGGCAGAGAGGCTGCTAAGAGACGGGTGAGTGAGGAGACAGGCGCTGCTGAAGAGGAGACAGGGGACGGCGCAGCAGCAAACAAAATCAAAATGAAAGAATGCGTTGGTGTTTATTGGTGCTGTCTCTCTTATCTAATGAATAAACAACAATATCTGTCTCCTTTATCTAGTAAGTGCAGTATCTGTCTCCTCTATCTAATTAACAGCACTGTCTGTCTCCTTTATCTAATAAACAACAATGTCTGCCTCAAATAATAAATAAACAACAAATGTTATCTCCAATAAAAGAGACAGAAAAGAGACAACTTGTGCGGTGCGGGCGACGCAGAAGAACTCCCCTCGAACAAATCTTTGTAGGAGACTAAAGCCCGCTCCCGCTGCTGCAACTTTTACTGCTGCAGCTCGTGCTGCTGCAGCTCCTTCTGCAGGTGCTGCTGCTGCAGGTCCTGCTGCTGTATCTCCTGCTACTGCAGGTGCTGCTGCTGTTACTGCAGCTGCTGAAGCTGCTTCGAGAGCAGCAACAGCAGCAGCAAGAGCTGTATTGTGCAGCAGAGGTTGGCTAGTGTCTGTCTGTGTCTGTTTGCCCTTCTGTGTTGGTGTGTCTCCGCGTGGCTGTCTCTTCTTTGTTTGCATCGTCTCCTTCTCGTCTCTGTCTCCTGACGCGCTAGAGAGATGCAGGAGACAGCTGAAGAGACAGCTGAGGAGCCACAGGCAAGTGAGGAGACAGCTGGGAAGACAGCCAAGTAGCCAATCGAGGAGACAGAGAGCGGGGGAGACAGCAGAGAGACAGCTGGGGAGACAGCTGGGAGGGCAGTTGAGGAGACAGCCGGGGAGAGAGGCAACTGGGGAGACAGCTGAGGAGACAGCTGAGGAGACAGTTGAGGAAACAGCTGAGGAGACAGCTGAGGAGACAGTTGAGGAGACAGCTCTTCACTCTAGAGGAGCGATGCATTTGCCTTTCTTGTCGAGTGCAAAGCCCCAAACTTCGCAGACCCCGCGGCCCCCAGCAAACAAATCCTTCACCTGTGCATGCACAACGACAAAACAAAAATAAAACAAATAAGAATAAAGCAAATAAAGCAGATTAAAATAACACAAATAAAGCAAATCGGAACAAAACCTAAGTAGCTAGCTAGCCAACTAGCTAGCTGGCCAACAGTTATCAGGCTACCGGTCTAGCTAGCTAGCTAGCTAGCTAGCCATCTAGCTAGCTAGCTAGCCAGTTTGATGGATGAGCACCAGCCAGCCAAAGCATTTGCTTACCCCAAAGTTTGCACTGAAGAACGGAGGAGACGAGCCGCCTTCTTCTTCTGCTTGAAGACGGCAGAAAGTGCCGGAGAGCGAAGGGCAGTCAGCAGCATCTGCAGCAGCAGCAGCAGCAGCAGAAACAACAGCAGCAGCAGCAGGATGAGGAGTGTATCTACAGGTTAGAAAATGGTGGTTCGGGAGCAAAAGGAGACAGCTGAGGAGACAGCACAGACTGTCTCCTTACCTCCTCTGATGTCGCAGGTGCCCTGCAAGTGGATAGCCCTCAGCTTTTTATGTTTCACTGTCTTCTTCTCTGTCTCCTGGGATCGAGGTGTCTCCTCGATTTGCTGCTGCAGCAGCACATCAATTACCCCACAGCCCCCAACCAGCAAAAAGATGCTGCAGCGAGGCAGAGACTGCTGCAAGCAGCTGAAAAGAGACATCTTAACTGTCTCCATTCGTATGTACACTAGAGACAGAGGAGAGATGCCTTTAAGGGCTGCACCCAACGGGGAGACAGGAGACACAGACGGAACCACACTGCTGCTGCTGCTGCTGCTGCTGCTGGAGGGAGACGCAGCATCTGTCTTCTTCTTTTTATGCTTCCTCGATGAGGTGTCTGTTTCTGCTGCTGCGGTGTCTTCGCAGCTCGACGCATCTGCTGCTGCATGTTTGCTTTTGGATTTCTTTGATGAACGAGACTTTGCTGCTGTTGCTGCTGCTGCTGCTGCTGCTGCTGCTGGCTCCTCCTCTGAATCTTCCTCCTGCGTCTCCCGCGTTGCCTCAATGATAGTGCAGCGGGTGTCTGCGCGAAGCAGCAAACAGCAACGAGAGACAGATAACAAATAAGGAGACAGATAAAAAGGAGACAGATAAAAAGGAGACAGATAAAAGGAGACGGCCACCCAAACACAAAATTCTGCGCAGAACCTCTAAGCTGCAGCTGCCCCAAGCCCTACAACATAAGGAGCAGCAGCAGGAGAAGCAGCAGCAACAGCAACAGCAGCAGCAGCAGCAGCAAGACTTGCCTTTGCAGGGCTCTAGAGTTACCCCCTTAACAAAGTTGGCGTATAGGCCGCTGCAGAGGATCGCAAGAGACGCAGCAGGAGACAGCGCGAGCTGAGGAGACACTTCAAAAAGAGAGAGAGGAGACACCTGGTGGGCCTTTAAGAGACAGAGACAGAGGAAGTAGAAGGAGACAGAGGAGACAGGAGAAACAGCAGGAGACAGCGAATAAAGAGGAGACAGCAGGATACAGACAACAACCACAGGCCTACCGATGCGGCTCCATAAGACAGAGCGCACCTACAGCAGCAGTAATGGCGGCAGGAGCTACAGCAACAGCAGCAACAGCTACAGCAGCAGGAGCTACAGCAACAGCAGCAACAGCTACAGCAGCAGGAACTACAGCAACAGCAGCAGCAGCTACAGCAACAGCAGCAGGAGCTACAGCAACAGCAGCAGCAGCTACAGCAACAGCAGCAGGAGCTACAGCAACAGCAGCTGGAGCTACAGCAACAGCAGCACGAGCTACAGCAACAACAGCAGCAGTAGCAGCAGCAGCAAGAGCACGAAGGTACCTTGAATTTGAGGGTGTCTCCTCATCATGAAATATAACGTGAGAATTCTGAGGGGATCGGTTTGAGGAGACACCTCCCAGGCCGCCTTGGCGTCCCCGTCTGTTGTTTGCTTGGCTTAAGCCGTCGTGCAGCTGCTGCAGCAGTTGAGACTCCATTGGGAAATGCCGAGGCTGCTGCTGCTGCTGCTGCTGCTGCTGCTGTTGCTGCTGTTGCTGCTGCAGCTGTTGCTGGTCCTGTATGTGCTCCTATGGGTGTTGCTTTTGGCGCTGCTGCCGCTGTTGTTGCTGCTGCTGTTTCTGGTGGTGCTGCTGGTGGTGCTGCTGGAGCTATTGCTGTTGCTGTTGCTGTTTGCTGCTGCTGCTGTTGCTGTTGTTGCTGCTGCCGCTGCCTGAGGGGGCTTTGACGGCTCTGAGGGCTTATGCGCAGGCTACTGTCTCCTGGAGGAGACGCACTGCATGCAGGGAAACTGTCTCCTCGAAAAGGAGACAGCAGCAGGAGACAGCAGGAGGAGACAACGGCCTGGGGTACAGGCAGCAGCAGCAGCAGTGGCAGCAGTAGCAGCAGCAACAGTAGTAGTAGGCGTCTAGAGGTTTATAAGGAGACAGACGGATGCAGGAGGAGACACTGCAGCTGCTTTTTGTTGTTATAAGAACTTCTGTTTAAATAAATATTACGCTGCTAGCAGCACGAAGGCAGGTGTCTCCTGTCTCCTTCTCTACGGGTGCAGGCCTTGCCCTGAATTGCTTCTTCTTAGTAGATAGAGGAGACAGAGATAAACAACAAAAGAACAAATATATTAAAAGAAGAAGAAACGAGAAGAAAAACGAGAAGATAGGCCTCGCTAGAGACACATACACCCGAGCTGCATGCGCATGCAGCTCCCACCATGTGTGGGGCCCCACAGCAGTCTCCTTTGGCCTGTCTCCTCGTGTTGTCTTTGCTGCTTAGCAACTGAATATTAATTTAAAAAGAGACTTTATAAAGGCGACGGAGAGGCAGAGAAGCAGCAGGAAGGGAGAGGAGGGAGCACATGGAGCGGAGAGGAGACAGACAGCGAAAGCTGTCTCCTTCTGTCTTCTTCTTTGTCTCCCTCTCTGTCTTCTTCTTTGTCTCCTTCTCTGTCTCCTTCCCTGTCTAATTCTGTCTCATTCCGCTTCACGTCTCCTGCCTCTTCACCTGTCTCCTTCTGGCTCCCCCCCTGTCACCTTCTGTCTCCTCCTGTGTCTCCCTCTGTCTCCTGCTGTCTGCTTCTTGTCTCCTTTCGTCTCCTTCTCTGTCTCCTTTTGTCTCCTTTCCTGCCTCCTTTTGTCTCCTCTGTCTACTTCTCTGCCTCCTTCTCCGCCTCCTTTTGTCTCCTTTTGTCTCCTCTGTCTACTTTTGTCTCCTTCTGTGTCTCCTTTTGTCTTCTTCTCTGCCTCCTTTTGTCTCCTTTTGTCTCCTGTTCTTGTGTCCTCCTACAATACCGTGTCCTCGTCTCTGCTGCTCCTTTTATCTCCTCTAATCTCCTTCTCTCCTCATTCAAAGGAGACAGAAGAAAAGGAGACAGAAGAAAAGGAGACACTTCGCTGCTTCCTGTCTTATGTTGCTCACTCTACACAGTGAAGAGACACCGCAAATGCCTTGGGGGATCTTCCTCCTCCTCTTCAGGCCTCTTTAGTTATATATATATATTTAAATATGTATATATATATATATATATATATCTTCCTGTGCTTCTGGCTTATTTGGTGTATTGTGGCTGTTTGTTAATGGGAGGTGTACTGTCTGCTGAGGTTAGGGCGTCTCTCTTTTTATTTCATAGCAATGAAGGTCTATCTGTAGACGATATTAATTATCTTTGCTGTGTACACAAACTCTTCGTGTAGCAGCAGCAGCAGCAGCAGTAGAAGTAGCAACAGCAGAGCTGTAGCAGCAGTAGCAGAGCAGCAGCAGCAGAGGCTGCAGCAAGGCTTGTCTCCCACCTGCTTCTACAGAGAGGAGGGCACTGCATCAGGTGTTTTTGCTGCTGTCCTTGACGCACTTCTTCTGTCTCCTCCGTCGTTCTAAAAGGAGACAGAAGGAATTTAAGAGGAGACATACAATGCACAAGAGAGAGAGACACCAGCGCATGCGCTCAGTAGCTGTCTGTACACCGTAGCATCCATAGAGCCAAAGCAGTAATAAATAGAGAGACAGCTGAGGCTACCGAGTAAATACAGAACAGCAACTGCTCTGTCTCTGTCTCCCTCTCTTTGTCTCTCTGTCTCTGTCTCTTTTTCTGTCTCTGTCTCTGTCTCTCTTTTGTGCTGCACAACAAGGGAGGCAACAGCGGGCCCAGGGTCCAGACCTCTCCTTGTGAAGAGATAAACAATACATGCATGCATATATGTTATAAAAATGTAAAAACATATATATATATATATATATAACTGTATATGTATATATATAGTTATATTTATCTAGCAGGCGTCCTTCACACAAAAAGTCGTACCGTATATCTATGTGAACACAATATATATGTTATACATATATATTATATATATATGTTATATATATATATATGTATAGTGTACTCCTCGAGGTTGTAGTGTAACCTGCTTTCTCAGCTGTCTCCTTTCTTCTTCTTGCTGCTGCTTTAAACCTACGGGCGCTGCAGTTGTACAGACTCATTGCATGCGCTGCCTCCTCGGGGAGGCGGTTGGCCCATAGAGGATGTGCAGCTTCAAGTGACAAATAGGAGGAGAGAGCTGAGGTGTATTTGCAGCTCTTCAGGGGAGGGAGCTGAGGTGTATAGGCAGCTTAGTGTGTATATATGCGCAGTCGGTTAGGGGGCTGTATGCATGCATGATATATCCCTGTGATGCAAATAATGAAGTGTAGAAGAAGAAAAGAAATAGTGCTGCAGTATATTTAATTAAAAACAAACGGAGCTGAGGTGTACAGACACCCCAGCAAGACCGCTGTCCAGTGGTTTTCTTTGTTTGTTTGTGTCTATCGAAGCCCCAACAGTAAAACTATTAGGAGATGTACTTTTATTTCTTTAAATTCATCGCTTTTATTTTATAAGATCTTCTTTTCTTCATTTTGTCTTCTGCCTTTGGGGTGTATTAATAAGGGGCCTCAACGCCAGCAGTACTCAAACTCCCGCTGTTGCGCCTGCTGCTGCTGCTGCTGCTGCTGTATTGCTGCTTCTTCTTCTGTTATTTGCCGCAAAAGGAGGAAAAGAGATTATATTTCAGGAGAAGTTGCAGTCGATAGGTTCTGCTGCCTTCAATTTGGGGTGTATGCGCAGACAGCTGCGCTGCCGCTGGTGGAGCGGATAGAGGAGGCATTCCCTCATTGAGAGATGTTTTATCGTTTTCTTTTTAAATTTATTTATTAAAATGAATAAATTTAAATCCAACAGCAGAAGAAGTGTATCAAGAGTATCCTCGGTTTTCTCTCAACGCTCTGCTGCACTCACCCCTGCTGCATCTTCAGCCTTCCTTGGGGGCTCATCTGTACACCCAGCTGCACGTACACCAGAAAGAACTATAACTCAAGCCAGCGCTCGCAGGGCTTCAATCAACAGCAAGAACAGCAGCAAGAACAGCAGCATCAGCAGCAGCAGTAGCAGCGGGAGTCGCAGCGACAGTAGCAGTAGCGACAGAAGCAGCAGCAGCAGCAGCAGTAACAGCAGCAGCAGAACTGGCAGCAGCAGCAGCAAAACCAGCGGCAGCAACAGTAGCAGCAGCCACTCCTCTGCCTTCCGTATGTCCAGCAGGGTGTCTCCCACCTCCTCTTCACTCCATATGCATTTGCTTCTGTGCTGCTGTTTATGCTGCTGCAACTGCGGCTGCTGCTGTTGCTCTTGCTGCTGCTGCTGCTGCCACTTGTGTGGATACACCTGGGTTTATCTGTTGGTATTCGAGTGTCTCCTTTGCCTGTTGTTGACGTACGTTTGCCGTTGGGGTCTCGTCGCAGCTCTAATGAGTTACGCTTGTCTCCTTTTGTCTCCTTTTGTCTCCTTTATCTTATCTTAAGTGCCTTTAGAAAGAGAGACAGCGACAGAGACATATGAATGTACACCTGGTTGTGGGAGTGAGGCATATTGCTGCAGTACTACTTATTGCTATTAGACGCATCGCTGTACCTTTGAATATCTTCTTATTGCAGCGGCTGTTGCTGCTGCTGCTGCTGCTCTTCTTGCTGCTGGCGTTGGTGTTATTGCTGCTGCTTTTCCTGCTGCTGCTGCTTTTGTTGCTGTTTTTGCTGTTGCTGCTGCTGCTGCTCCTGCTCCGGTTTTGTTGTGGTTGCTGCTGCTGCAGCCTCTGAACGAGCAGCAGCAGCAGAGGGTTGAGCTGGAGTGTATGTATATTTGTTGTTTATGTTTGTGTGTCTTGCATGCATGCAGTGTTTGTTTGTTATTGGTTTTGTTTTGTATATGCTGTCTCCTGTACACATTGCAGTGTCTGTCTCCTTTTGTGTCTGTCTCCTTTTGTGTCTGTCTCCTTTATGTCTCCTTCAGGGGCCCCACAGCCAACTGCTGAGGTGTCTCCTTCATGGAGCAGTGCAGATCTGTCTGCTGCTGATGCTACCTACGGCCCCCACTTGTCTATTTTATGTTTAAATGCATTTCTTATCCCTCCTTTTGTCTCCTGGAACCCTTACTTATGGGCCCCCTTTTGGAGTTGCAAACGCCCAAATGAACGCGCAGAACAGGTCTGTTCCCCCTCTCAGGTGTATAGGCACCTCAGCCTCTTCTCAGGTGTACAGGCACCCCAGGCTCTTCTCAGGTGTATAGGCACCTCAGTCTCTTCTTAGCTGTACAGGCGCATTAAGCTGTCCTCAGGTGTACAGGCACATTAAGCTGTTCTTAGGTGTATAGGTGCCTCAATCTCTTCTGAGGTGTACAGGCACTTGTAGCTGTTCTACGGTGTACAGGCACTTGTAGCTGTTCTAAGGTGTACAGACACCTCAAGAATGAGGCAGACAGAGTGTCTGAGTGCAACGCGCATTTTAGTGTCTCTTGTCTGGCTTGTTTTTCTGTTTGCTTTTGGAGTCTCTTACGCTGCATGATATAGATTTATATTTTATGTGCATGCGTCTGTCTCTTTATTTGTTTGGGTGTATTCTTTCTAGTCCCTTGTATATTGTTTGTTTGTTTTTCTTTCAATCTGCATAATATTGAGGTGTT